AATGAATGACTAAAGGTACTGTTGAAATTGGCAATTCGAAGAGTTCTTGTGATCAGTTTATGATAGCGCGCCCTTCCAGTGTTTCACCGGGGTTTCAAACCACATACAAACCACACGTGGCGAAATTGGCGTGTCTTGGCTGGATGATCACCTTAAGAGTAGATTTTGAATTTGAGAAGTTGTATTCTAAAGTGTTAGAAGGTGTTGGCAATATTTGACTCTCCAAATGTGGAAGAGAATTTCTCATTCCTGAGTAATTCTCGAGATTCATGGTACTATCTCTCCTATATTGGAAGCCTTAAATAAATTTTTAAATGTCATAACAAGCAAAAAGATTCTTTAGTTCAATCTGGGGTTTATAAGCCGCAATAATTCTCAAAAAACGAAACAAGAGAAAAAAAAACACCTTCTTCTTTTTTTATATATTAATGAAAGCAGTAACTCTTGCAAGAAATGGTCTAACAATGAACAGGCAAATATTTGCCATAGCCCCCGCACTTAGCAACTTCACAAAGAATTGATTATCATCTCTTAAGGGCTGTTAAGCTAAAACATGTCGAATGTCTCTGTCACAAACAGCTGCTCTTAACAAATATAGCATGATTTGCCAGGGGTAAGAACTACACCTTGCGTCAAACACCACATACAACTCGACAGTCAATCAAAGAAATGCCATTGTTAACAAGTTTGTCTTCCTGTTTATTCCTCAATATTAAAAATAGCCTACTCTCCTAAGTCACAAAACCGTCTTTTATCTGTTGAACATGATCATTTCTTTTTTATGTAGAAATATAACAATGTAAACCTGGAGAGTTTCTGAAGCTGGGCATTTTCATTTCATACTCGCGTGCACCTTGGCTTCCTTTCTTCAGGAAAATATCGTGCTTTTTTCCCGACACATGAAAATGTTGGCTTCAAAACAGCAATAATTAGGCAGAAAACACGGAAATTTCTCCTACGTAATAAAAGCAAAATGTTTCATTGTTCACGGAAAGACGCTCCGTGGACGCAAATCACAACCGCCTGAGAACACCAGTGCGGCTTGAAGATAATTAGGTCCTTAAGATTCCACTTCTCAAAGCAGAAAATAAGTACGATCGGTCAAGCAATTTAAACTTTATTCTCTTAATATTTATTCGCAAAATCAATTTTTTTGACTTTTTTGACTCAGTTATTAAAAAGTGAGAGAAAAGTTTTCTCGAATCATTTATCCAAAGTGAACCTCATGATTCCGCTCTTGCCGAAACGTACATGGGTGCTATCGATAGCTTTTTTTAAATGTATATGTTAGTCTTAAACACCACTCCTACAGGATAAAGCAAGTTCCCGCACGACATTTAGCCCATTTTTTTCCTTTTGATTTCAAAAGGTACCGCAAAACCTCAAAACCGTCGAGGGAACCAAAGTGGAATTCGACCATCATCGTGTTCAAACAAGTATACAGGCCTTCTATGGATGGCAATCACAGGTGATATTTTAGAGAGAGAATCCTTAGGGCTAGTGTATTAAAATATTTAGGTTACGTTCCTTTTCTAAACTCTGTGCCTGTGCGAGTTTACTAGTGTGACGTCGACTTGTTTTTTTGTTTCCCAACTTAGAAACTTGTAGAAAGTCAATAAAAAGAAATGACGTCAACTTGTTTTTGTGTTTCCCGCTATGACTTTAAGTCAGATTATAAACTGGCATATTGATGTATTCCCCTTCGCGCAAAATTAAAGATAGAAAAGTGTTTCAAATCTTTCCGCCGCAAAGGAACCCGTAGAAAGTGTAGAAAGTCAATAAAAAGAAATTCCATCGGAACCTCTTCATTCTCTGGCCAGTATTTCACAATTTAAAGGTTTTCTATCGCCTGTGAAGAATATTATTGCCGTATTTACATCGATTATGCTGCATTGCGAACGTGAAATTCGAGACATAATACAGAGTATTTCCAATGTGAATTATCAAGTCTTTTTTGGACAGATTGTTTAAAAAAAAGTGATGTAAAGCTCATGTTTTGAATCCATCGATATAAAAAAAATAAATCCTTACTCTGTTACATGGAGAATTAGAAATAGCAAGTCACATTTATAACAAAGTTCGGATATAACGCGCGCTGTCATTGGTTGAAAGAGCGTGCTCTATGAGAGTATAGAGCATAGAACTGAGCTACAGCTGTCACGCCATCTGCCAATTGTACTATGTTCGACTTTTTCCGGGACTTCTTTTTAGCTTTTTTCCGATAATTGAAAGTGAAATTTCGGAACTGAAGCGAGCCGGCAAGTAGCAACAGAAGAATCAAAGAAAGGTTTGTAAACATACCAGGCGCCGTAATGTACGTTATTAAAACGTGAGCAGATACGAAAATCCTCAAAGGAAAAACAAAAGAAACATTCCGAGTTTTAAAGATTTTCACGCTCAGTTAGATTACAAGCTTACGTACGGTAATAAAAATCAAACACAGCTAACACTCGCATAGTGTATAAAGTTCAGTGTTCAAAAACAAAACAGAACAAAACAGAAATGATGAAAAATATAACCAAACTGGCATAATTCTTTCTAATCATGACGGTGTCTGAGCGAATATGATCATGCTGAAGTCCATCGCGGCTCGCTCATCATGGCGATCTCCGGTCATCACAGCAAGCCTCAGAAACTACATCGGCCGCCCTTCGAGTGAAAAAATAAGAGCTTGCTCTGATATCCTTTCCGATGCGTTGAGTGGAAAGTCACATCTGTCACTGCAGCCGAGTTTTGCGACGCTGTCATCCCGAGCGATCTTCATGTTCCGGTGAATTCGGCTGTCGTTCATTCAAAAAACACTTGCCCTGAACAGTTTGTTTTCTACCTTGTCATGTGAAAAAACTCGCGTGTTTTTATAAGCCATAATTCGGCTGAAGTTCACTGAACATTTCACTTCAAGATTCTGTATTAGAGACTTAAAAACTTCAGACAAAAGTGTTAAATTCGACCTACCGAACTATTTTAGTTTGTAAACTATCGCAGAAGGTGAACTTTGATGGTTTTTTAACTTTGATGGTTTGACACTTTTGACAGCTTTAGTCTTGTACAGCCAATCAGATTATTTGAACCATTCTAACAGGGATTCTGATTGGCTTATTGTAGCGTGCTTTATGAGAGTATAGAGCATGCTGACGACACTGTTGTTCGCTTTGTAAATAAAATTTGTTTTGAAAATTGAAAGTAATGCTCGGGGAATTTAATGGATTCTTTATTATAAAACAAATAGAGAAGCCTTGGCTGTTCTCTGTTCTGTTATAAAGCACTTAGGAAGCGGCTAGAGCACTCAAGAAGTGGGGAGAAACACTCGACTACGTCTCGTGTTTCTCCCTACACTTCTTTCGTGCTCTAGCCGCTTCCTGCGTGCTTTATAACAGAACAGAGCACAGCCAAGGCTTCTCTATTTGTTAATTAACATCTTGCCGTAAAACTCAAAACTAATCGCTGTAAATCACTTGCGAAGATACCTTTATTTTTTTGTTTTTAATTTTTCTTTTGCGCGGGGTTGCTCAATCTTTTTACTTTGTTTAAGTGTGACATGTGACTGAAAAATAGAAGTGAAATTTTGAACAAAATTTATTTAAAATGACCAAATTGAGTTAGAATTGTGTGATCGTAATATCTTCTAGTCCTCAAGAATCTCTTATTTGAATTTGAATTTTAGACCATGTACAGGTGGTCTAAATTCTGAAATTTTACACCTCTCAGACAAAATATGGCGCTTCTTTATATTCTTGTTTTCTTTCTACTGCTAAGAACTACAGATACTCGAAAAAAAAAATGTAATGAAAGAATTATAAAATTATTTCGAAAAACGCGTCGAGGTCAGTTCGAGATGTTATCAGATTTTAATTCACTTGATTCCGTAGAGCCTTTCTATATTCGCTCTGGTGAGCTGATTAATATTGAACAACTAGAAAAATTTTAGTTTGGGGAATAACCAATTGTGTTGCGTTATTTTTGAGATTATGTTGGGAAAAGTTTTTAGATATATCACGTTGATTAACTTTCCAACGATTATGGTCCATTTATTTGCTAATTAGAATGACGAATCCAACTTTTAGTGGTTTGGGCTAAGTTACCTAAGAGCAGCGTCAGTTTCTTTTTACTCCTTAACATTTGTGAAGATGCAGTCTTTAATTTTTAAAGGTGCATGGGAGATCCAGCAGTGGAAATATAAAAGTGTTCTTAGAGAGTACAATTTGAAAACTGAACAACAAAACGTTGGATTAATTTGTTTTTAAGTGACCCGTTGCTTGGCAATCTGATTACAGAGATCCCTAGGTATATATTACAGATGTAGGTCTGTATGATGCAATCACAATTATGTCTTCGATATTCACTTTTAAGACTTAATGTGAAACATTTTGATATTATAGTTGGTATGTTTTGGTCACTGGATGTCAACAGAGGTTTTTAAACGACCCTAAAAAAGGAGGGAAACAATCAAAAAGAGAAAAAGGGAAGGAAAGAGCGAAAACAGAGTAGTGATATAAACATAAGCATTATAAACATAGGCAGCAATCATGCAAACCTAATTCAGCCTAACTCAAGGCCTCACCAGCTTGGCATAGCTCAAATAATTGCATTTAACACCCATATAGAAAGATACAATGACACAGGTATAGCACACTTTTGGTACGCGGCTGTGATCACAAAATGATGATATAGCAAATGGTAATTGCGCACATAACAATCAAATTAGCAGCCAAAGGTTCCCTTATAAAAAAATGCAGATATACAACCTTTTTCTAAAAATTTTTAGTGTTTCACTGAATTCTTTATTTTCCAAGAGTGATTAGAGTGGTATAAATTCTCTTTAAAATTTTGATGTATCGTCATGAAGACAGAAAAAATTATTTTCGTTAAAGGAGTTGTGAGTGATTAACCTGAGTCTATGTGTTTGGATTGAACATGAACTATGCCCATATTATTTTATTTTACTTGACCAGGGTTAAATTCCAGGTCTTTTTGGCGTATCGCACGGAGCACTGCAATTCATGGCTTATGAGGAGCTGAAAAAAGGCAATAGTCAATATTTTGGAACACCAATCAACCAGAAGCTGGTGAATACTGTCTGCACGTGTCTGTACAGCTGATTGTATACGTCCTTAAGATCACAAAGTTAACCGAGTTAGCAAACCAGAAAATCTTGATCTAAAACCTAGACAAACAAGAATATGTGAAGTGCTTTGACTCTGATCACATTCATAGCTTAGAGTGGATGATTGAAGCATTGTTATTTGTTGGAAAAAAAAAAACAAAAAACAAAAAAACAAAAAACCTTTTCTCTCAACTCACCCCTCCATTCAGAAGGATTGATGAGAATCAACCCTTTGCCCTCCAACGATTGACTAGCATCTAACTAATCCCCAGAATCACACATTGAGGTCACGAGAATTAAGAGAAAGATCAGCAACAGAAGAAGCTCTTGACTTTTAAACAAATTCTCCTTGTCAGTACCTTTCAAAATGCGGTGAGAACAGATTGGAGAATATGGATGCTGATTTCAGGGTGTAAAGGGTAAATACAAACTCATGTGATGGCCATGGCTTCTGTAAAGGGAAAACATGAGAAAGGAAAGGGTGTGGGAAGTTTTGGCGTCTCATCGTAGGTAGTCATCCTCTATGGCGAGCTTCAACATTTTGAAGCCACAACTGAAGCCCAAACAACAACCTGTATAACTTGTTGTACATGTGGCTTGCAGGAAGGTAGGGATAGGAGTAGGTTTATCATTCTGTAACCATAAGTTATCCTGGGATTCACCCTGAAGTGCTGAAAAGATAATAGTTATTTCCTATATGAATTGCTCGCTCGTTAATTTATGTTTTGCTAAATTTCTTTTTCTTCATGGAGTTTAACTGAATATCTTGTAATGGCTTCACTGTCTAAAATTTTCGCGCCAACAGCGACGTATCCTTATCAAGTGGTTAGAGCTAGACTTCAAATTAGGATGGGAGATTCATTAGCAAACTATTAACCTTTTGAAATAGATTTTCTTTTATTTTTGCATGCTATTATCTTGAAATAAACTTTTGGTTTAAGGATTTTTTAAGTTTTAAGGCTGGTGATGCAGTGATCTCATCGGTTGGTTTGCTGGACTCCGAGTTGATGTGGCCTGTGCTGGAGCCTCTAGCCTCAGTCAGGTCATTGTGTTGATTCCTTGGGAAAAGACTCGTTGGCTCCGTATATCCACCTTCCCAGGAGTTCAAATGGGCACCAACGAAAGGCTAGGGAAACCCGACAATTTGGATGAATGTAAAATCTTATGGAGGGAGAGTATCTTTTACCCTCTTTCACTCTTTCCATTCCTCTCAAGAAACAGGGATCCAAGATGGCTATGGGAACGCACGGTGCCAAAGTTTTGATTCTGTGCCCATAAAATTGGCCAAAACCAATTAATTATATCTGGGGTTGTCTCTTCGCGATTTTATTTTGGGGGAGGGAGGAGTGAATTGCTCTTTTTTTACTGTTTCCTTGTGTTATTTATTGTTCATGAATTTTACTTTTTTAAAGAATCAGTACACGATGGTAGAATAAAAAGGCGCGTTGGGTGTGATTAGTAAAACTTTCAGGTCAGTTGAAACTTGATATGAGCACTTAATTTTTTTAAATACGTTTCTAGACTAGCTTTTCATTTCTAGTTTCAAATCCATCTACATTAAAGGGAGGTACATGTATTGCATGTTTGAAATAATTTGACAGAGAACTGGAAGGAAATTGGCGGAGAATTGAGTGCAGCTTGTTTGAGGACCGGACCTAGCTTTTGGATTGACTTCCATTTACGGCTAGGTGATCAAGTCCACATTTTCATGAAATAGGTATTTTCGTCTTTTTTGGTCCCTTCCCACGGAGGGTTCTCTTCAAAATTTTAGGCACGAAGGAGTAAGAGGATTTTACAAAGGATTAATTCCCACTGTCCTCAGGTATGGTAGTTTGTTAAAGATAAAATTAATGATACAAGTGAATTTGATAGTTAGTTTTATGAGTTTTACCGCAGGGAATAATCGAGAATTGGCCAAGAGGGCTTTGTGGGATCCCATCTTTGATTTTTGGTGGCGCTTGTAAAGAAAAGGGTCTTAAGAGATGAGGTACCCCATGAGGTGTTGAATTTATTTGTACACTCTAGACTGTGAGATAGTGGGAAGCAGAGACAGGTGATAAAAAAATCAAGAGGCTATAAAATTGAAATTTAGTTTTATGTAAAAGGTGTCATGTCACTGTTTTCGTCAGTTGTATTTTCGAATACTGAAATAATTGATATAGTTATCCCTGTCAAAAGTTTTTATGCTCCATCTGATGCTTTAGTGTAAGTTTTAAAGATTTTGTGTTTTTTTTTTCGAAGTTCGGAGAGTAGAGGAGTAGAGGAGAAGAAACCCTGGAACCGTAATCTCTGTGACCACATTCATTTTTAATTTTACTGAATGTTGTTTGTTTGATTGTTGTTGTTGTTGTTTTTTTAGAATAACGCCAGCATGTGCACTCGCATTCGTGGTGTACGAAAACGTTATTCACTTCCTCCTGCCAAACAGATGACATCGACAGGATGGATAATGCAATCCAGCAATGGAAGACGATGGGCAGAATTTTTAGCACGTGGTTTTATTACCAGGGTTTATTAAGCAACAGTTCTGACTGTTTCCATTTATAGAAAATATGTTAACCGTGCGAAGTTAACCGCCCTGTGCGTTTACACTTTTTACTAGTAACTTTATTCACCAGCGACATGTGAACATGAATTTTTCTCAGAGCATTTAATTTACAACAATGCAAGAGGTGTCCATCACTATTTTTAGCTCCTAAAGATAACAATGACTTCTCCCATTGTTCTTTTATGAGAAAAGTCCCCCCACCCTTACCCCCCCTACCCTCTCCTATGGATAGCATACCAATGTACATCCCCTAAGAACTTCCCCTTAGAACTAACAAAACCAGAAGCTACAAGAGATGCCTTTTGGTACAAGCTTTTTTTTATTACTGTGCACTTAATAATATTTGACAATTGAATTATAAAATTACTTCTGAAATTTACTTGCAATTTAATCAAGAAAAATGTTCACGATTATGTTAATTGTGACAGTTTTAAAAACAATTACCTTATTTTATCTTATCCAATAAATTTCTCCATTTGTCACTGAATCGTTGTGATGTAAAGTTAAAACCAGTTTTGATTGATTGATCCGCTTTTACTTCACTGGGTTCTGGTTTCATGCATTTTCCCGATCATTTCCATTCCATTTCGTAATTTTTTCCTGGCTATTGACTTAAGTCTAGTCAAAAAAAGGGAAAGCTACTCTTTCGCGATTACTATGAAGTGAATTTGAGGAGTCTTTCACATAACCTTTCATCAGATGAGTGGTACCGAGAACCTACTCTGGCCCATGGATTTCACTGGACTGGACTACTCTCGTGTTCGTTTCATGAAACTCAGCTGAAAATAGTCCGTGTGAGGTAAATGTATTTACAAAGAGATACACAGTTTTTGTTAAATAATGAGACTACATACACTATGCCCTTCTATCTACAACACTCAAGAAGCTGAGCCACAAAGTTACTCAGCTCATATCGCTTAATCGAGGAAAGACCACCAGAGATTTTTCTATTATTCTAGTATTTTGATACGTTGTTAATAAACTCGCCATGCTTTGCCCCATTTGCTTTGTGTTCAGGTCTCTTCTTGTAAATTAGAGACAAATGATAATCAAATGATTGGAAGACTAGTCTTAGAATATTGAAATATCAGGCAGTGGCCTTTGGGGTGGGCGGCGGGTGGGTTTCTTTCCTGCGCTTATTATTTTTCATAGGATTCTTTGCATATTCTTGATGGATAAAAAAGGAAAATTTCAGTGATAACTGTGATTTTGATTTCAAATCTAACATTCCTGTGAAAAATTGTTGGTAATGTACTCGAATAGTGCACATGTAGAAAAGTTGTTTACAACTTGTGTTTACCTTTGCTACTGTAAGTACTTATTTTTAGCACAAGACATCTCTGAATACTTTTCTTTTTCCCTGTTCATGTTGAAGGCAAATATTAACCTTAGAAAAACTGGTCAACTTTTAAAAGCCATACGCAGTTTTTAAACTTAATTATACACATGACTTGCCTTACGGGCTCACGCAATTTGTTAGTCTTTGAAAATTTCCCGTTCTGATTTATCCCAAATTGCACTCGAAACGCGTGATTACCTATACAAATTGCTTCGAAAATTATTTTACCAAATTTTCCCTTGAATGAATGAAGTGCCCGTGCCTAGTTAAATAAGCTGTAAAGGGACACTTTGAAACCATTTCGTATAGATCTTGAACTTAGATTCAAAATCAGTCTGAGATGTGAGCGAACCAGTTCGAATGACTTCTGGTCGATTCGGACGCATTTGACACACGGTTACGACAGCCTAAACCATTGAATTTTGCTTACTGTGTGTCCGGAAATTCGTTCTACGTTTCAAAACACTGAGTCACAATTATTACGTTAACTTTGCGTAATTTCATAGGACATCAAATTTCGACTACCATCACGTATTTTTTGCTACGCCTATAACTAAGATAGTGCCTGCTTGTATTCCATTGACTTATGCTAAAATAAACCACGGTTAATATTTACAGCCATAGAAGGATGAAAAGGGAAAAAAATAAATAAATGAAAGGCTCGAAAACCAGAAGCTTGGGAGTTTGCGTCTTGCAGATTTTTAATTTACTATGAATATCCTTCGCGCAACTCTCTTTGATGACAGGCTATGTCTGATGAGAATTATCATTCTAATGAAATAAATACCTGTTTGCCACCAAAGTTAAAATCTGCTGATATTGTTTACGATAGAGAAAAAAGTTAATCACGTCACATGTTAAAAACCCTATACACATGTACCTACGGTTCGATTTATGAATCCTTTTACTTCGCCAAGTCTATTTGCTTCATATTCAGTCTGTACCACAGTAGCGTGAGGCACAAGAAGATGTTGGGTAAAGTTTGTAGATGAAGTAGGATGAACAGTTTTTTACAAAGCTAAGCACTGAGTGTCTGCAACCAGTAGAGCGATCACTAAAGCAGACCACCTTGCGAACTTCACCATCTTCCACTGTAGGAGGAGCACCATCCAACCAGCCTGACCAGTGTGTACCACATCTGTATGCTGGCACACGTGTTGTTGGCATTTTTGTTCCCGCAGCTCCCACAAAACGATACCATCCCTCAGGGAGTTGTTTGTCACACAACTCTGAACCGTGAGGTGTTACGTAAGTTATCTTTCTATTGGCATCAGTCAGGTTTTTATAATGATAGCAAGGATCGGCTACAAAGTGAAATGAAAATTGCAATAGGACTTGGGTTATTGAAGTCCACGGTTCAAGATTTTTTCCAACGTCTTATTATTCTGGCAGCTTGCCAAAAAGCGATGAAAATTGTTCTTCACAAGAAAAATGAGTATGCATTAATTAAGAGTCAAGTAGTACATGTGTAGGATATCATCACTCCAAGAGGCTAAAATAGTGATAACGGAGATCCAAATGAGTTCAGCTTAATTCGAATTTGCGCTCCTTCTCTTTCAGAACGCGCAGTAAAGGACAGCTCTAGGCAGACTTAAGGCACAACCAGTATCGTTTACAAATGACAAACTAATAATATGGCCGACTGTGGCCACCTCAGTATCTGCAGGTTAGATTCACTAGGAATATTCTAAATATATAGCAAAGAGATTAAATTCACCTTTGCAGTTTTGACCATTTCCATTAAATCCAGGCTGGCATTCACAAAGATAGGATCCGTTGGTGTTCGTGCAGGAAGCATTCACGTGACAAGAGTGATTTCCTGTACATTCGTCAATATCTGAGAAACCATATATATATTTGCACTTTATCATGTTTGTCGCTTCAAAATGGGCGGACTTTCAATGGTGTAATTAGTTTGATAATTATAAAGAATAAAACAAATTTTCCTCTTTTTCGTGTTTTACGAATTAGATATTTGAAACGTATATTTCCTTACGAATATTTCAACTTAACAAGCTAACGGCTCCGAAACAACTGGCTTGTTCCTGCCGCTCTCACAAAACAGTATCACCTCGCAGGGAATAAGTCGTCACAAAACACTGGATCAAATTTCTGTGTAGCGTTATTGCTCTTTCTATTGGCATCACCCTAGTTTTGATAATTATTACATGGGTCGGCTATTAAATTAATAAACATTGCAAAAAGATTGTAGTATCAAAGATAATATTTTGTTGTTGTTGACGTTTTTTCAGTCAATCAATTCGACAACAAGCAGACAGGACTTGTGTTTTACATGAACAACGATGCATTAAGTAAAATCTAAAGAATAATTTGCGCTGGACAATCATGATGCACAGAGGAACTAAAATAAAACTATAGCATCACAAAGAGTTATGTTTCCTCTTTGTGCTTCGACTGGATGCTACCAGATGCGTTTTAAAACATTTTTGATCCTCAGCTCCCACACAACGATGCCAGCCTAGAGGAATTCGGTGGTAACACAATTATTTCTCAGGAGTGTGTAATTACTCTCTGCCTCTTAGAGGTTTTCTTTAGTTCCACGAAAAGGGTTAGATAAGGTCAGAGAAAAATACACTATCCCTTCAGGACTCAACCTGACATTTCTTTTGAGTTTTTTGCCTCTTCTCTCTTCTCTCTCTCTCTCTCTCTCTCTCTCTCTCTCTCTCTCTCTCTCTCTCTCTCTCTCTCTCTCTCTCTCTCTCTCTCTCTCTCTCTCTCTCTCTCTTTCTCTCTCTCTCTCTCTCTCTCTCTCTCTCTCTCTCTCTCTCTTTTTTTTTAATTATCAACTGAGTTGATAATGTAAACTGGCCACCGTAAAGAGTTTCCAAGCTTACGTTCCGAACGTTCGCTTTAAAACTCTTTACGGTGGCTAATTTACGTTATCAACTCAGTTGATAATAATAAGTTACCCTGTTATACTCTCCCACCGATGCAGCACCGCAGTTCTGTAGAACCTTACCCTCTATATTCATCGATGTTTCTCTCAGTTTACTGGTGAGATAACCCACCTGGTATATTGTGAGAACAATTTGTTACACCGTGGTTAAGTTAAAACCGTTTATTTACGTCCGGTACACTCTTACTCTAAACCGAAAGAACTCTCAGAGTAAATTAAGTACACGCTATATATATACAAATGCGTAGGTCCTGTTAAGTGTATTACATCATTCATTTCCACACGTGGACATCACAATACACTATAAACACGAGATAAGTTTGTAAGTCCGAGCTGGAGGCGATTGATTTACTTTTTATGTTTCGAATGGTTTCCCAACATCTGAAAAAGGTTTACTACGCTGGTAAACCGATGGAAGGAGCGGTGTGTTACTCTAATATCATAAACTTCAATTTTCCATGGGCTTATCGGTGCAATCAGCGATTGTTTATTGACCAATCAGGGTGCTCGTAGTATCTTAATTCTTTTATAAAACTTGATGATAACAATTTTCAACTTTTTCTCTCAAATGTGTCTTAAGCGTCAACGAAAACGTAGCGCCATAGAAAATCACTTACATATCCATCCTGTGCACAGGGTTCAGAGCCAAACGAGCGATTTTAATTTCATGATTCTGTCAATCATTGTGATAAGGTTAATTTCAAAGCAGAGCAACATATTTGTCACCAAAATTGTTCATTTAAAAATCAGGAAGGGGTTCTTAACCTGAGAAACGGCTGCTTAAATCAAAAGGAGTTATGAGCAATAAATTATCTAATTTTCTTGCAACGTGGCTGAATGGTGCAGCGCTGTAGTTGAACGTTACATGCAGGACTGTCCTAAATATTGTACTTGTAGGGAAGATATTAGGTTCACCTGTGCAGTTTCGTCCATTTCCAGTATATCCAGCATGACATTGACATACATGTGATCCAAGGGTGTTCACGCATGTAGCATTCACGTGACAAGAGCGATTTCCTTTGCACTCGTCAATATCTGTAAAATCATAAACATAAAAAAAAGGAAAAATAATTGTAATTGGGAAAAAGTTGCCGAACATAACTTAAGAAACCTTCATCTTGTTGTCTTGTGGTTCTAGACGTAAATACTTCGCAATACCCCTCACCAGATTTTTTCTCGGTTCCCCCAAGTCCAAATCCGTTGTTCTGTACTGTAAGCCTATCTGCCAAGTCTCCCTTTGGCAGTGGAGATTTTGTACCATGTACTGAATTTTTACATAACCACCTAACTCCCATTAGTGACCAAGAAAAAATTTCTTCTTATCAAATCATTACAGTATCAAACAGACAAGTGACTAGAATAAGGAAAAATATTAGCTCGAGGATTATCAGTTGATTCAATACCAAATTCTTAGAACTAACATCATAAGAATTGTATGGTAGACAGTAAGGAGAATTACTGAAAGTCCAGCAGTGGGCATACATTCACTTGTGCATCGCTCCTTAAGTGACCCATTTGTACCTACGCATTCTCGGCGAAGAAAGGGTTTAGTTTTGCGCCGATTATTAATGCCGTTTCGTTCTCGTTTACCATAGTAAAGAGGCAGTGTAGGTGTTTAATCACTTCAATGCATCTCGATAATATTTAATGCCCAAGCTGACCATTTCAATCTCCTGCTGCTTCGAGGTAGCTATTGTAGCGCTCTTTTGTATTACCAAGCCAAGAAAAAAGCTAGAAGCTAGAAGTAGACTTAACACAAGTAAAAGAAACTGAAAAGGCTTAATTGAGTTATTTTTGGGCGATTTATAGCTAATATTTTTAAATTTTGAGACCAGTACAGGATGTCAATTTCAAGATAAACCTTGCGCATGGTGAAACATTAATCGGTGGATTTTACCTCATATCCCGAGGTTGTTCAAACAAAACTAACGCTTCCCTTGTATCAGCATAACCTAATGCAATTCTGATAGCGCAGCGGCGAAAAAGCGATGATCTCTCTCCATAATGGTTCTTTTTGGACCTCGAAACAGACGCAATGTTTGCTCCGTGGCGATCCCAGAAATCTTTGCGAGAACACAAGGATCCGATTACTGGCAACTCATCCATTGGCTTGCGTAAGTCAAATAAGAATCATAGATGCTGTTATTACCAGGGAACCTTTTAAAGTTAGGGATTCTTAAGGGCTTTTTTGTTCTGCAAGGAGTGTCGTGTCATGTCTGCATCAAGTAAAAGTTCGTGTAAGGTTGTTAAATCATTTAAAACACAATCAAAAAGTGATTCGTTTTTTGTGCACAAAGTAGCGTAAATTTATGCCTCCTCGATGTAAATGTCCTCGACGTGAATTCCAGATGAAAGTCAACATCTTCGATGTGAATTTCGGATGAAAGTCAACTCTAAGCAATACACTGCTACATTCAACATGGGAAACAAAATATAAATTTCATCGCCTTCATGCATACAAAAAACCAATCTTATCTTCGCAATTAAAACCATCCCCATATACGTAGGATTGCAAGAACATTTGTATGAGCTCTGGGTATTATTGCAAGATGCATTCGGATGGCATTCGTTCATTTTCATGGCATGAGCCTCGCTGCATTCGTCAACGTCTGAGAGAGAACGTACACAGTAAAGACAGAAAATTGAAGACTTGGTCATTGGTCAAATAAAGTCAGAGAAAAATACACAATGATCCCTTCTGGACTCAACCTACTCATTCCTATCACCAAAAGTGTTTGTTAAAAAGTCAGGAACATTATTTAAGAGGTCCTTTAAAAAAAACCGCTGCTCATATTACGAGTTATGAGTGAACGCGGCTGAATGGTGCGGCGCTGTAGTCAAATGTGTCATGAATATTTTGGATAGAGATTAAATTCGCCTGTGCAGTTTTGTCAATTTCCAGTGTCTCCAGGGTGACATTCATATACATGTGATCCAAGGGTGCTCATCCATGTAACATTCACGTGATAGGAATGATTTCCTCTATACTCGTTAATATCTGAGAAACCGTAAATGCATTTTGCACTTCATTTTTGTCACCTAACGATTTGTAATTACTTTAACCATTTCAAATAATAAGAAAAAGCTTTCTCTTTTTTGTCTTTAACGAACTAGATTTTTGAAACGTGCAACCTAGATATTATGTTCTCTTCTCCGATGTTCTTTTTTGATATCTCCTAACATCAAGGCTTTGAAACAAACCGGATGTAGATCATGGCAACTCCGTGCATATGCATGTATGGGTAATGCTGCTTAATTTGAGCTCCTTCTTTTTCAGACAACGCATTAAAAGACAGCTCTAGGCAGACTTAGGGCACAACCAATATCGTCTACATATGAGAAACTAATAATATGGCCACCTCAGCAGCTTCAGGTTATATTCGAGCATGAATATTCTAAATATTATAGCAAAGAGATTAAATTCACCTGTGCAGCTTTGACCGTTCCCATTAAATCCAAGGTGGCATTCACAAAGATAGGATCCGTTGATGTTCGTGCAGGTAGCATTCAGGTGACAAGAGTGATTTCCTTTACATTCGTCAATATCTGAGAAACCACATATATACTTGCACTTTATCATGTTGGTCACTTTAAAAATGAGCGGACTCTCAGTCGAGTGATTACTTTGATAATCATACATAATAAAACAATTTTTTCTCTTTTTTGTGTTCCACGAATTAGATATTTGAAACGTATATTTTATCACCAATATTTCAGTTTATCAAGCTATCGGCTCTGAAACAACTAGCTTGTTCCTGCTGCTCCCACAAAACATACTATCCCTTGGGGGATAGGTCGTCACCAAACACTGGACCAAATTGCGGTGTAGCGTAATTACTCTTAATACTGGCATCACCCACGTTTCGATAATTATAGCAGGTAATTTAGTGTTAACAACTGAGTTGAATATTCGCCCATTTAAGTCTGAGTTGTATGTACCTCTACTGTATGCTACCAAATAGGTTTAAGACATTTTTTAATTCTCAGCTCCCAAACAACGATGCCAGCCCCGAGGTATTCGGTAGTAACACAATTATTTCCCAGGAGTGTGTAATTTCTCTCTACCTCCTAAAGGTTTCCTTTCGTTCTATGAAAAGGGTCAGATAAGGTCAGAGAAAAATATACAATCCCTTCAGGACTCAACCTGCCATTTCTTTTAGATTTTTTCCTTCCCCATTATTTTGCTTACCTTATCAACTGAGTTGATAATGCAAATTGGCCTCTGTAAAGAGTTTCAAATCTGACGTTTCGAGCATTCGCTGTAACACCCTTTACATTGGCCAATTTACCTCATAAACTCAATTGATAATACTAAATTACCCTGTTGCACTCTCCCATCGACGCGGCACCGCAGTTCTTGTAGAACCTTTATTTATCGCTCTTTCTCTCAGTTTACTGGCGATATAATCCACGCTGGATTTTGTGAGAACGAGCTGGAGGCGATTGATCTAATTTTTTTTCGAATGGTTTCCCAACATCTGAAGACGTTTACTATGCTTGTAAACCGGTAGAAAGTGCGGTCTGTTACTCTAATAACATATATAAACTTCAATTTTCCACAGGTTTACCGGTGCAATCAACGATTGTTTTTTGACCAATCAGGGCGCTCGTAGTATCTTGACTATTTTATAAAACCTGATGATAATAATTTTCAACTTTTTCACTCAAATATATCTTGATCGTCAACGAAAACGTAGCGCCTTGGAAAATCATTTACATATCCATCCTGTGCACAGGGTTCAGAGCCAGACGAGCGATTTTATTTTCATGCTCCTGTCAGTCATTGTGATAAGGTTAATTTTAAAGCAGAAAAACGCATCAGTCACCAAAATTGTTCACTAAAAAGTCAGGGACATTACCTAAGAGGTTTTTAACACGAGAAATGGCTGCCTAAATCAAAACCAGTAATGAGTAATAAATTACCTTATTGTCTTGCAACGCGGCTAAATGGTGCGGCGCTGTAGCCGGAAGGCATACAGGACTATTAAAAATATTGTAGCGGAAAATTAAATTCACCTGAGCAGTTTTGTCCATTTCCAGTATATCCAGCATGACATTGACAGGCATGTGATCCAAGGGTGTTCATGCATGTAGCATTCACGTGACAAGAGTGGTTTCCTTTGCACTCGTTGATATCTGTAAAATCGTAAACATAACTAAAGAAACGAACTGTAATTAAAAAAAAGTTGCCGAACATAACATAAGAAACCCTAGTCTTGTTGTCTTGTGGTTCCAGACGCAAGTGCTTCACACAACCACTCACCAAATGTTTTTCTCGGTTCCCCCAAGTTTAAATCTGTTGTTCTGTCCTGTAAGCCTGTCTATCAAGTCTCCCTTTACCAGTGGAGATTTTTTAACTTACACTGAATGTTTACTTAACCACCTAACTTCCTTTAATGACCAAAAAAGAATTTCTCCTTACCAAATCATTACAATATCAAACAGACAAATGACGAGAATAAGAAAAAGTATCAGCTTGAGGATTATCAGCTGATTCAATACCAAATTCTTAGAACTAACATCGTAAGAATTGTATGGTAGACTGTAAACAGAATTACTAATGAGATCTTAGGAGTGAAAGGATCAATACAAGGTATGCTTGTAAAACAAGCCTCGCAAATATGATAGTGCTTTTCTTTCTGATGTAAATGGTTTCAAAAGAAATGCATCAAGGTTAATTCCTTTGATCCTCAAAAATTTTTAAAACAAATTTAAAAAAATGCAATCGGGAAGAAGTTGCCGAGCATAAACTTAGAAACCTTAATCTTGCTTTCTTGGGTCCTAGACGCAAGCACACCTCTTTAGCGCTCACTAAATTTTTTTCTTGATTCTGCGCGAGTTTAATCCATTGTTCTGTCCTGTGAGCCCATCCATCAAGTCTTCCTTTACCAGTAGAGATTTTTTTCCCCTGAATGTTTATTTAAAACAATTGTGTCATCATCAATATTGTCTTCAGGTCTACATTCATCTCTTTTAAATACAAGGTATAATGGCAAAACAAGTTTTACAACGATGATAGTGCTTTTCTTTCTGACGAAAATGGTTACAAAAGAAACGCATCAAATACCTGTGCAGCCGCGTCCATTTTCAGTATATCCGCGGTGACAAGTACAAACGTACGATCCTTTTGTGTTCGTGCAGATAGCATTCATGTGACAAGAGTGATTTCCTTTACACTCGTCAATATCTGAAAAATCATCGATACATTTTTTGCATCTTATCGTTTTTATGACTCATAGTCGGTTAATTCCTTTAATCATCACAAATTATAAAACAAATGTTTCTCTTTTAGTGCTACATAAATTTCAGCACAAATAGTTGAATTTATCAACCTGACTATTCTGAAACAAGCAAGATGTAGATCATGGTAACTCTGTGCATAAATGCGTGCATGGGTAACGCTGCTCTAAATTATCAGACGATTTACAAAAATTAGTTTTATTTAGAAATATTAATAAGGTAATCTTCAAAATTACCTGAACATGAGTGTCCATCGCCAGTGTATCCCACTTTACATGTGCATTTGTAAGAACCATACGTGTTAGTACAGTTTGCATTCACGTCGCAGTCGCTGATGTTAAATTTACATTCGTCCATATCTAGAATGTGGAAAGAGAAGCAGTGACTAAGTTAGAGCAACTTGAGAGAGACATCCTCCATAGAACTGATCCAAACCAAATATTACGATGATGATATCAATAATAGTATAATTTATAATAATTTCATGATACCTATAACTCGTTACAAAATAAAATAACTCATTCAAACTCATAGGACCTACCTTCGTTAACCATATTACAGTAAATCAGTTTTGCCTTTCCTTTCCCAGTTGGATCGAGCCAATACTTGCCGCTTATGGTGTGTTTACCTTCACTATCCTTTATTTCCCGACAAGACAGCGCTGGTAATTCAGGGATAGAACCTAATGGAGCTGAAGTAAAGATATGTTTTACGTTCACTTCCTTTTCTTAGTTCTTCCGGGTGAGAAGGAATCAGGCTGAGGATGGAGAAGATTTAAAGAAATACGAATCACTTAGAATCACTTTCTTACCTCTGCCGTTCAATCGCCGGATGTAAAACCACGCGGGAGCTGAAAGGAAATTCTCTGGTCTCGCCTCCTTGGTGCGGTTATTTAGTTCACATATTTGGTATTTTTGATTGTAGTTATAGCTTTGGCATGTGATCTCTTGTCCGCATTTGACATCGCAGAGGTGAGGAGCCGCTACTGACCATCTTTTGAAGACCGAACACCTGAGAGCCATCCCTTCTATGTATACATTGTTCCTACATTGATCGTCAGCTGTGACAAACTCCATGGCAGAGGCGAAGAGGAGGAATCTTAAATTTTGGAATATCCACAACATACCTTTTACTTGCATTTAATCTGCAAATATTGAGGGTAAGACACCATAAGTACATGTTTAATTCCCGCCTAGTTACAGCTAACTTTGAAAAACTGTATACCTACCTAATGAGTAAAAATAAAATTTATAATAAATGTCATGCACTGACTAATGGCCCGCCTGAAACTTCGCGAGAAAACTTCATAGCAGCTCGACAGGATGCTAGTTGGAATGTCAAAAAAAAAATGTTAAGTACAACTTAAAAGTTGTATCAGAATATCTTAGGTTTTTTAGCTTCTCTCAGCTTTTGTGGAATGATACCTTTGATCTGCTTATCTAGTGTAGTTAACTTGCGAGGATAGCCTTACCAAATTGGCTTAGTAATCTTCAAGTAGCTGCGGTTTTATATATATCTTCTGTCAAACAAGTATCTGTTAGTGTGTGTTACTTCTCCTTTATCTAAAAAAACAGTTCAGTGATCAAAAAGTCGTATGAAAAATTAGTTATATATATATATATATATATACACGTAACACTAGAGCTGATAAATATAAGAAATGCGGTCCTCAATCATATGATTGCCGCCGAGTTAAAATTGCTCTCTTTCATCAAAGTATTATAACTATGATTAAGATACCAAACGTTTGCTTTAAGCCAATGTGTAATAATTAACCTTAAAAGAGAACCTCATCGTTTCTGTTTGGCTCCTCAGAAGCAATGAATTCAGCAGAATTCGGGCCGGAATTTAAGTAATATAATTTTTCTGTTTGCGATGTTTGCCAACCAATGGCGAAGATACTTGTTTTATTAATTATAAGTTGAAATTCAATCGGTATAAATTACTAGCTGTGAGGCACGAATTAGGATTTGATAAATTTTGAATACAGACTTACGAAGCTACTTTAAAATCAGCTCTTAGGAGTGTTTTGATAACATATCCCTCATATTTATCCATTATCCATAACAAAAGACACTCATCCGTTAGCTCAGGAAATATAATTAAACTCGAAGAACGTCAAATCGTCCGTGCCATTTGTCCACAGTTGTATAATTTTAGTCTGGAAACTTCGAGCAAATATTGATGATTTGCGATGCAATTCATTTGTTAAAAGTAAACAAGATTCCATTAGTCGAGAAAGACATTAAAACTTGAGGGTTCAAATGAAGCTACAATTGGAATTTAAGCTCAGGATCAGGGCAAGTAAATCTAGCAACATTTTACGGAAACTGCGAACAAACTGACGAATTTGCAGAAAAATTTTAACCATTTACCTCTAAGCATAACACAAACAATTCGCCGATTGTGAAGTTCATTTAAGTCAATGACGCTGCAAATTTGACAGGTGCATTTTTGTCATCTAACGTGTTCAAGTTCTTTTTATCCTTACGTTACTTAAATTTATGCTGTAGGCTGCTCCCAAATTACGCCATTTAAGAATTTCTCGCGTTTCTTCCAACCCCTTCGTCACCACAAGTGCATGTATAGTTTGTTTTTAAACGAGAGACACAACAGGTCCTAAAAGCTATTAATGACCATCATTTGAATACAAAACTTTTAAACTAACAGAGTCTCGCCCTCATTTTTCCTGGGTTGCTTGCTTTTGTTTGTTTGTTTGTTTTTTTTACGCGGGGCTGCTCAATCTTTTAAAAATCTTTTTAACATCTTTTAAGGGTGACATAGGATGGAACAATTAAAGAGAGCTTTCGAGCAAAATCCTATTTGAAATGACTTAATGGAGTTAGAATTGTGAGATCCCAATATTTTCTAGTCCCAAAAAACCTTTTATTTGAATTTGCATTTGAGACTATGTACGGGTGGTCTAAATTCTGAAATTTAAAACCTTTTAGACAAACTTTAGCGCTTTTCCACGAACGAGCTTTTCTTGGCAATATTTATATTCTTGTTTTGTTCGTACAGCCAAGAACTACAGATATTCGATAAAAGCGTCCGGGACATGTTTTTTGTCTCAGTTATGAGACTCGAAGTGTTATGCGTACTCATTTAGCGTCACTCTTGACTGCATGTCTACTAAATGTTATTACTGTCTGAGTCGCTACACCTTTGTTCACCCGTTTCTTTGATATCGCCAACTTTTACTTGAAGTTATTTGGGAATCATTAGGGTTTTTCTTAGACAGAGTCGCAGCGGAGATGTTTATTGGCCTCACAATTTCAATATGAAAATGAAACGAGTGGTGCAAACTCCAAATATTTGTTGAAATGTCTATCAATTGCTGTTTTGAGTTGCGTAATTTTTGGGGATACAAAACATACTGTGACCGTTCGATTTATGGGGGAGAATATTCATGTTATGGCAAGTTTATAGGAAAAAAAGGTTAAACAAGACTCCGTTTTTTTCCTTTCCTCAATATCATTTCGCTTGCAATTTTCCGTCAGCTGTATAAAACAATGACGCAGAACTTTTGCGCTGAAGATTCAGTTTGAACCAAACGATTTCATTCCTCTTCCATATCAATTTAAGAGACAGGATATGAGGTTGAACTTACATTGTAAATCCATCGATTGAAATGAGGCTTTTTAATTGAAAAACTTCAGTTGAAGTAGGACAAAGCTTTGGTGTCGATTTTATTTTTAACGTTTATACTCAGCAGAACTCTTTAAATGAATTCTGTCCCGTTTACTCCAATATCAAAGTTGTTCTTTAATGGTAAAAAACTGTCTTGTCAATAATCTGTTTGGAAGTAATTTGTTTCTAATTTTTTAGTTTCTTTTTCGCTATCAGTTCCATACAAAAAAGTGAAATATAAGGAGTCTTATTTATAAACGCAAAATATTTTTTCTGTCTCTTAAGACTGTCGTCGCATTCCTTTACCAGTTTAGAGATGCTTTGCGAAAGTGGACTGAAAAACATTTGAAATGATTATTTTATCAATATTTGTCATTTTCCAGCCACGTGTATGTGCCAAGCAGTGAGAAACAATTTAGGGTGTGTTGGTAAAAGATGAGTGCTCGCTCCTTTTAAGTCCTCAATAAAATATTTTGCACCTGGATATATTTGGGCTCAAACGCCTGAAATTTTTTTCTTTAATGTATCAATACACAGGGAAAGCACATTCGATTTAACCGTTATATTAGCATAGAGTAGAAGATTTTTTCTCATATTAATGATAACAGAGAACTTCACTCACGCTGAAAATGAACAACGAATAATAAACACACAATTATTCCTTAGAGCCCCCGCATTCATCAACGTCAGGGAGACTTAATTATCAGCTCTCAGAAACTTTTTAAGCCTAAAAGATATCTATTTCACCTCCTGCTCAAAAACGAGTGCCCTCAAATATTTCAGAATTATGTGTTGACTTAAGAAAAGCCCTCCAGAGATTAGTTCTGCATTTTGCGTCAAATCGTCGCCAAGTAGTTTCGTTTCTTAATGCACAACCTTTGTGCATTGAAACTTGAGTCCGAGTTAAGTCCTTAAACATTGTTTTAACTATGGTTCCGTGACCAAAAATTGATGCATTAAGGACATTTATTTTTTATGAGGTTTCTATTGTAGGAAAGACGCCCCGTCGACGCAAATTACAACCGCCGGACCGGTGCCGCTTGAAGATAATTAAGTCCTGAATATTCCACTTTTCAAAGCAGAAAAGAAGTACAATCGGTCAAGCAATTTGAACTATATTCTCTTAATATTTATTCCCAAAAAATATTTTTTGACTGAACTCAGTTACCAATATTTGAGAGAAAAGTTGTCTCGAATCATTTATCCAAAATGAACCTCATGATTCATGCTATCAATTACTTTGTCTAAATGTTGATATTCGTCTTAAAGACTAATCCAGCCCTCTACATATGGAGAATAAAGAAGTTGCTGCACGAGATTTGGCTAAATTTTTTGTGCTCTTTTTCATTTGATCTCCTTCAAGGCACCACAAAACCTCAAAGCCGTCGAGGGAAAGTAGAAGAACCGAAGTAGAATTCGACCATCATGTGGTAAAACAAATACACCCACCTTCTATGGATGGCAATTAAAGGTGATATCTTAGAGAGAATCCTTGTAGCTATTGCATTAAAAAATGTCCCTATGGAATTATCGTGGTTTTTTATGTTCTATTTGATAAATGTTGGCCATATTTTGAAACTGTGAGATTTTTGAAGTGATATTTCAACGGCGCAAATGACTGAAAACAAACAAAAAAAAGTTACCGTGAAACAGCACTTCTAACAAGGGACAAAATAAAACGGTGCACCAAATAGGCCTTATAAATCTAAGTTGATCTCAAAGAAACTATTCAGTTTTGGTTCCTTTTCTAAATTCTGTGGCTCTGTAAGTTTACCAATAACTTGTGGATCCTAATAACTTCTAGTCCCAAATAATCTTTTATTTGAATTTGAATTTTAGAGAATGTACAGGTGGTCTGAATTCTGAAATTTCAAACCTCTCGGGCAAACTTTGGCGCTTTTCCACGGACGAGCTTTTCGAGGCAGTCTTTATAATCTTGTTTTGTTTTTATTGTTAAGAACTACAGATATTCCAAAAAAATTTAATGAAAGAATTGTGAATATGTTTCGGCAAAAGCATCTGGGACAGGGTGTTTGTCTCTGTTGAGAGACTCGAAGTTTGAATCGTGCTCATTTAGCGTCACTCTCAGGGTTGTGTTCACGGTGCGAAATGTTATCAGACGTTAACTCATTCGATGCCCTTTCCACATTCATTCTTGTGCGCTGATCAATTTTGAACAAATAGATAATTGTATGTTTGGCGAGTAACCGACTGTTTTCCGTTATTTTTGAGATCATTTTAGGAAAAGTTTTAAGTTATATCACGTTGACTTTCTTTCCAACGATTAAAGTCCATCTATTTGCTAATTAGAATGATGAATTAACTTTTTGGTGGTTTGTGCCAGGTTACCTAACAAACTCAATATGGGTGGTCAAAACTCGCTTATGTCTCTAGTATTCTGATTCCCTTGCTGAAAAAACACAAACGAATTTTTGGTGAGATATTTGTTTGCAAAGATGAATGACACCTTTTTACCTAAGAGAGAGAAAAGAAAAGTAAACCATTTACACCCTTCCATCAGTATGTATTTCCCCCGTACTGTTCTTGATACATTTCAGACATGCAACTTACAATGACAATGTAGTTAAAAATCAAGAGCTCTTTCAAGTTTGTGATCATTTCTTTAGTTTTTTATAAGCCTAACGTTGATTCAGCAGTGAATAATAAATTGTTTGATACTTTTCTCAATCATAATTTCACTGTGAACTGGAATCAAGGTGGTGGGGCATGTAATTGTGCTCACCAATTCCTCACTTACATGAAATCCAGATGCATGCCTTATTTTGTACTCCTTGATCTCTACAGATGCTCTGTTAAAGTTGTGGAGACATGAGGAGTTGAGAGGCTTATACAAGGTAACCTTGATATGTATCTGTTGACAGCTTTTTGAATGATTGATCAAGTTAAAAATTGAGATTATTTTGACTGTGTCTGCTGGTCTTGTGGTGAAGTATGCAGGGTATTGGTCTCTAATAAAGTCAACCAAATCCAAGAAGTCAAAAGTGGTGTGTACCGCTCCATGTGTACCTTAATAACTTGAGCTTAAGTACAAAAAAAAAATAATGGAATAAAATGTAGTATAATAGAGGAATTATTAAATATATATATAGTCTTTAGTTCTTAAATGTACATGAGAGATTCAATAGTGGAAGTGTAAAAGTGTTCTTATGGAGCACAATTTTAAAATTGTACACCAATACATCGGGCCTATTTTTTTAAGTGACTCATTGTTTGGTACTCT